ACTCTTTCCTGCCTATGCAGGGGGTCGGACTCGATGATCTGTTGAGGTCCCTTCCGACCCTAACATCTATGAATCTATGATAGAGAATCCCCCACATACCTAGGTAAGTAGGTCCAATGGTCAGTTACTCTCAGTCTTTAAAATGCATATTTGCCTGGTTTCAGTTTCCACCTTTTGGATCTCATTCAGACTTTTTCTGTTAGATTAAAGCCACTCTGCTATAAGAAATCTCTCTCTTACTCAGGTACTTGCAGACTTTGATCAGGTCACCACCTAACCTTCTCTTGGATGAACAAAGTGGATTGAGCTTCTCATTTCTTTCACTATAACCTGTGTTTTCCAGACCTCACATAGTTTGGTATTTCAGCAGTGGTATCACATTTTCATGTGGTATTGATGAGACCATGTCCCAACTCCGGCTTGAAATTTTCCTGCTTATACATACAAGAATCACGTTCTCTCTCTCTTAGCTACAGTATCACACCAAGACCTCATGTTCAGTTGGTCATCTAACCTGACCTCTAAAGCCCTTTCTCATGTTACTGCATTCCACAGTCTCTCATGATATAAATGAGTCCTTCCTGCATTCTTTGTTCCTAGATGAAAGACCTGGCATCTGGCTGTATTAAAACACGCTATTCAAATGAGTTCACCTTAACATTCAATCCAGCTCAGCCTGCATATCTGTCCCTGTCATTTTCTTCAGGTCATTGATGAAAGCATTTGAAAAGCACTCATCCATAAACACATCCCTATGGGACCCCATCAGAAACACCCCCCGTTCAATGACAGTTCCCCATTTAGAAGTCTATTGGTTAACCAGCATTTGACCCACAAAAGTTACAAACCAAGGTTGGCATGGGAATGACCAGTAAATCAGTCACTGATGCATCAGACAGGTCCAAAGAAGAACAATTTATAGCAGGGGTGGGCAAAACCCGAGCCATGGGCCAGATCTGGGCTGCCAAGGGATTTTGTCCTGCCCAGCCCAGAAGCAGGGGGCAGCCTGGGGCCTGGTACATGCGGCTGGTACTGCTGCCCTTGGGCATGTAGCGGGGCTGGGGCAGCACAGCAGCCCTAGTGTTGGTGGCTCCTCCCGGCTGCTGCCACTGCTGGACCTGGCCCTGCTACCTGGGCAGCCCAGCAAGTCTGCCCTGCACCAACCACTAGAGGCAGGACCCATGCAGGCAAGGTGCTAGACTGGGCAGATAGGATGCGGCCATGGGCAGGCAGGGAGCAGTGCTTGGGAGCAGGATGGGTGGATGAGGCTGAGATCACAGGGTGGGATTGCAGGGCGGTGGAGCCAAGGCACAGCCACGATCCACTGCCCCCATGGCCCTGCAATGGGCACAGGTTCCACAGGCAAGGGCGTGCAGCTCTGCCCCTGGCCCCGCACTGTCACTGCCCCAAGACCCTGGACCCAGTCCTGAACACTGCTCCCTGCCTTCCCTCAACCCCATCCCTTCTGCCCGGTCTCACACCCTGCCCACGCAGGTCCTGGCTGGCTTCCATGGAGACTCTGGGATCATTGGGCTGTGACAGCATGGGGCTGGGGCCCCAGGCTGAGCTGCGATCCACTCCCCATATACCCCTGCCTGCACAACTGGCAGCTGTTGCAGGGGCGTGTGGGCAACAGATTACAGCTCTGCCCCAGCCCTGCCTGCTTGTCCCGCTCCCAGGTGGCACTTCTAGCCCACCTGGGGTGGCTCCCAGATGGCAGCCCCCCCAGTCACCATGGGGGTCCACTTAGGAAGTTTTGGTGAGCTGCTGTGTGGGGGGAACAGGGTGCTGACCTGGCCTGTGACAGCTCACCAAAATTCCCTATGTGGTCCATGGGCCCAAATAATTGTTCACCCCTGGTTTATAGCCATATTACACAGCTTTCCCCACCTAGGCTGGAGATGGGGAAATGATACTCTCATAAGAGGGCAGGAGGGCCTGGTTCTACACTTTGCTGCTGGCCAGGATGCCCCATTATGTGGGGTATTACCACTGGGTCACTTGATATTCTGGTGTTGGTGATAGGAACAGAGCAGTGGGCACTACTCACCTATATCTGCTCTATGATAACAGATCCCTTTTAGTCATTGAGTTGTTTTGTTATCAGCAAACAGTTCATCAGCTTATGTCTTTTGCCCTTGCCCTGGATGTGACTTTGGCCAATTGCTAATGCAGCTAACAAAGGGATGGCTTCACCCACCCCTGGAACCAGCACTGATTCATGGTAACAAAGGAAGTGTGCACAAGTCACCCTGGGCTAGGTGAACGGTGATATTCACCACCTTTGTGGGCTCAACCCCTTGTAGGGGGTGGTCAGTGGGATGGGAGACACTTGTCTCCTGCGGAGGAGAATTGGACCCTAGGCTTTAGATGTTCTGAGATGCAAGTGCAGCCATGTCCTGGTGCACTAATGCTTTCTCCCCACTGTCCCCTTCTCCAGAGATTCATTTACCAAGGTGGTGCAAATCCTGAATCCTTCCTCCTTATACAGTGCAACCAGGCAATATCCCACCTTGATTGTTACCTTACAGATGACCTTACTGGGATGGGATTCACCTTCATCACTACTCCTCTTTGTGTGGCTCAGCTCAGTGTTCAGAAACTATGAATGCTTATAATTTGTGGGGGCGGGAATCTGGGTTCCCTCCCAATGTCCATGGACACTGCCCCTTCAATGGGCCCCTTCAACAGCTCCCCAAGGATTTCTCTGAGCCAGAATGTTTCTCCAGGCAAGACTTTTCCTGTCCAGTGACTCTGCCCTCTTTCCTTTGTAAGTGGCCCCTCTGGGATCTGCTGCATTGTTAGGGTGATGCCAATTAGACTGAAACAAGTTTCAGAGCCACCGTGCTGGCATTTAGCTGGGAACGGCTACTGCTCATAAAGGTCTCATTGTTCGGAACAGAGTGGGTTTATCTGAATAGCTACTTAAGTTCAAGGAGGGCTGAGAGAAAATAGGCTTTTCTATCCAGTGCATGCTGCCTGGGGTCTTGTACACACTGCATCATCCAGCACTGTTCCATCAGCTGATTAAAGGGCATTAATGAGGGAGCTCTGAAAAGGGGGGTAGGAAATATTCCTTGGCTGGGTGGAAAGCCCAATATAATGGAAACACAAAACAAAGAACCATCAGAGCAACAGAAGTATCTGTGGGGGAGGTCTGGGATCCTTCGACCCCTCTAGACCAAACACCTACAAGAGCAGAGACCATCAACTCATACATTTTTGTTACTATGTCATTAGGTCTGGCTTAAAGGCAATGGCTGCTTTAATGAGGACATATCCAGCTGCCTTGTTGACACCAACCCCTGCTTCCCAGATGACAGGAAATGCCACCATTGGTACAGAGGAGAAATGTGTCTTCAATGAAGAGTTTAAGTACATCCTGCTGCCCGTGTCATATGGGATT